ACATCCAGTTCTTTCCAGCTTCCAAGTGCGCCCTGGAGAAAAGTGCTCTCAAAGAGCTCATTGACAGGCCAGCCGAATAGCTCAGTCGATTAAAGCACCTGCAAACAGACGCAGGGGCCAGGGGTTCGATCTCTGGGCCTGCCGTGCTGGCCCCACCCTCCTGGGCACACTGAGAGGGCAATTGAGACTGGGCGTGATGGTGCGGGCCTATAATCCCAGCTCTTAGGAGGCTGTAAACAGGCGGATCACTGCGAGTCCGATCTAGTAGTGAGACCCTGAACACCCTTCCCTAAAAAATAAAAAAAAAAAATAAAAAAATAAAAAAAAAAGTTTATTTGCTAGGTTAGGGCCACTCAAATGTCTCCCTGTCTTAAAAGTCAATTTAAGAAATGATACTAAAACAACATTATTAATTATACCTGGGGCAAACACTTAATTTCATGAGGAGATCCTATTGCCCTGCAGGGTGGTACCAGAGATCAGGACCCACAAAGGAAGGTTTAATGGGACTTGGTGGCTGACTGATACGGTAAAAGTACACACAAGTGAGTGGTTATTTATGGGACAATGTATTTGCTATAAATATGCATATGTATGTAATTTCAAGAGGCTAAGAATTATCACCTACACCACCCAAGTGCTGTTGCTGACTCCCAGCCCTGTACTTTGCTGTGTACCCCACCCTCTGTGTATGACCCAGCCCTGTTATTTTGAAGGAGAATGGGGTGAGAGGTGGCTTCTGGCTGAAGAAGGGGAGCTGGGCTGCAGGCAGCTTGTGAGGAGGGGGACGCCCAGCCTCCAGGGGCTTGGAGTATGAGCTTGCTTGGGCCTGGGAGGGGAATGGAAACTAGGAAGCTACCCACACTGCTGCCGAAGCTGCTTTCTCTGGAGGACAGCCTGATCAGCATGGAGAATAAGGGTGCTCTGCTAGCCTGGTCCCAGATTCTTTTCAGGCATCACAGGTCAAAACTTTTTGTGGTAACACTAGTACAACTTTGCTGCTCTCGTTTTCTCCAAGTGTGCAACTCCGGGAAGCGGGAAGCGGTGTTTTCCTGACAACCCATGCACTGTGTTGCAAAATCCCTTCTGGGCGAACGAGCCCTTCTAGATGCAAACAGGCCAGCCCAGGGAGGTGAACGTGGCCAAGCACGGATGCTTACTGGTAAGCTCAGGTTCCGCACTGCAGTGAGCCCTTCAGAAACCACCACTTGGGGGCTGGGGAGATGGCTCAGCAGAATAAACAGTTGCCTGGCAAGTGCAAGGGCCTGAGTTCAATTCCCAGTTCTGCAAGAAAAAAGAAAAAAGGGCTGGGGAGATGGCTCAGTGGAATAAGTGCTTCCCTGGCAAGCATAAGGGCCTGAGTTCAATCCCCGGTTCCAAAAAAAAAAAAAAAAGAAACCACCACTTGTTGGGTCTTAGGGTAGAGTGCAGGAAGAGTGTGCAGCGCTATCTGGAAAGGCTGAGGCTGGGCTCTTTGTGTAGCCACTTGTCCAGAGGAGGCAGGATTTTTTTCATAGTCTGTAATCAAAACACATCCTAGCAAGTTGACTGCAAAAGAAGGAGATTTCGGTCACTATTCTCAATAAGAGATATTTTTGGAAAATTAATTCATGAAAAACAATTCACTTCTGTGCACATCTAGTGGGTTTATTCTTAATTTTTTTTTCTCCGTTCTAATTTTGAATATGGTTACCACTGATAGGCAAGGTCATGTAAACAGAGGCACCTGAGAGGCCTCAGTACTTTGAAGTTGTAAAAAGATCTGAGACAAGTGACTGGAGAATGAGTGTACTACTTGAAGCCCCCAAAAGGTGGGTTGCAGGAATCAGGCCTGTGACGGCTGTCTACATCCCTTTCCTCCTCTAGCTGTTCAGCCTTTGGGCTTGTGATTATTTTCATACTCATTTTATAGGCCAGGACTGAGGTACTGAGAATGTGTATTTGGGGCACAACCTAACAGCTCGGCAGGGGAAGGAGTACCACGCTGAAGGCATTGTGAGTAATGACCTCACTGTTGTGGCTGTGTGGGGTCACTGTTGATGGACACACACACACAGAGGGGGGGGGGTATAAATAGGTGTTGTGGTTCTCAGCACATGTGAGGCATCCAGTGCACAACTCTTGTCATTTCAGCACATGAAACCCATCACCCACTCTTTAAAGTACAGCCGTCTGGTACTCTAGGTTTGCGCCAGTGTCTGCATAACCTAGCTTCATTCGTGAACATCGAGGCCCCTTGCTTCTGTGACCAAGCTACAGTAGATGTTCATAGCTGAGTGTGATGGGAGGGAGTTCCTAGGAGTGAACATTCTGAGGTGGAGGTCATGTGTGTGTGTCACTTGAGAGCACTTTGCCTCACTGTGTCCTCAGAAGTGGTACTGCCCCCTCCCCATGGGGAGAGGAAGTGTGGTGCTTTGTGTTCTAGGAAACAGGAAGAGTCCACTGCCAGTTCTGCTTGATGCATTACTGTTTTCTTCTGCTCTCTAGGACAAGTTCTTTTCTGCAGGCTGTTGCTCCAGGTGGCTCATTGAAAGTGATACCTAGGCCAGTGTGCTTTTAATGGCTCCATCTGTAGGATCAGACAGCAGGAGGGTTGCCCTGTTTGCAAGGGCGAGGGGCTCCTGCTGAGGGGGAGGAATGTTTGCTTAGGAGGAGCTCTCTCCTCTTCTTCCTCCCTCCCCACCTTCCCCTTCCCTCCTGTCTCCCTGTCTCTCTGTCTCCCTGTCTCCCTGTCTCCCTGTCTCTCTGTCTCTCTGTCTCCTTGTCTCTGTCTCTCTTTCTTATTCATTCTTGATAAAGGACACAGGTTGTTTCACCAGCTGGGAGAACCTGAGCACTGAGGTGGTGGAGGCAGTGGGCCAATGGGGATCTGGAGCCACAGCTGGATTTGTGGATGATCCCAGCTCTGGGGCTGGGGACAGATGGGCAGCCCAACCCTGGGGAAGTGGGAGCAAGGTGAAGCAAGTCGGGCCGCTCTGTGCCCTCCCCAGTGTTCAGCAGTCTTGGTTTAGCAGGAGTGACTTCTCATGGCTTGGTGCATGACCTACTTGGGGGAACACAACTTTCAGGGCAGCGTTGCATCAAAAGCTGTCATTATTCTGCAAGGAGTTTATCTCAAAGGAAAACTGTAATTCAGCCAAAGCTAGTTTTTGTTTTTGGATAAAAATTCAAAAATAACTAGGTGAAACCCAGCTGTGTGTTTCCTGAAGTGCCAGCGACCAAATCCCCAGCAGCCGCCTCAGTCTTTGTTTGGTTCTGAATGAAGAGTAGGAAAATGGCTACCATGAGAAAAGTTAAGATAGAAATGGTATGAAAGTATATTCTGTGAATGCAGCCATTTAATTATTTGTCGTTAAAAAAAAAAATGTGTCCTGTGGGGATTGAAGCCAGGGCCTCAAGTAGGGTAAGTAGGTGGGCTACACATCCCCAACTCAGTTGCAGCAATTTCAAAATATTTGTTTGTGGATCAAAGCTGGAAATAATAAGCCAGAGTTCTGTTTGCAGTGCTCCTCAGCCTTTGCTTTTTAACACCTCCATACCCCAAAGCCTGTGAGACCCTTTTGTCCATCCTAAAGTCACCCATTGTCAGCTACGTTTCACAACCACAGGAACACTGTGTGTGTGATGGTGTGCTGTGCTTCATAAATAAGAAGAAGAATTGGTTTTGGTTGCCTGTGATCTCTGCCCTCTTAGGAGCAGGGCTTCCCACCCTGTCCCTTGGGCTCTTTGAAAATGCCTATGTGGTATGGGTCTAGGGACTTTCGTCTCTTATGATTGTATATGTCTGATTGGTCTGTGGAGCTGTCACTCTGGGAAGACAGGACTCTGGGCAGAGAGGCAGGCAGTGTGTTATAGTTTGTACCTAGGTGTTCCCCCAAAGCCTTGTGTAGTCTCTGGGGCAGGCTTATAGATTAAGTCACGATCCAGTGCTGGGATTTTAGGTGTAAGTGCTGCTGGGATTATGGGTGTGAGCGCTACAGCTGGCCAGGGGTGGATAGCCTGAATGCAGCATAGGGAGACAGACTTGCTCTCTGCTGCTATTGCTGCTGCTGTGTTCTTGTTCTTTTGCTCTTGCTCTTTGGCTGTTTTCCGCTGCTATGAGCTGCTGCCCTCTGCCCTCTGCCCTGCCCTGGAGCCAGCCGAGTTGGACTGAAACCTCCACTAACTGTGAGCTAAATAAACCTTTCCTTCCTTAATTTTGGGTGTTAGGTTTTTTGTCCCAGCAACAAGAGAAAAGTAACTGAGACACAGTGTCTGCCCCTTCCTCCGCTGGATGTGTGGCTGAGACAGTTCCTCCTTGGGAGGGACTCTGCTGTCTGGCTTCTCTCTTCTGCAAGACAGCTCCTCTTTGAAACAAACTAAAAAGTTGGTGGAGACTGTAGTTGGTCTTTGGGTAGCTGAACAAATCTGGGGAACTTGTTAGGTCCTTTCCGAAGGTGGCGTTTCTCAGCCAGGTCCGCATCTGAACAGAAAGTGAGGCAGGAGTACTTGCCATGTGCCCCTGTTGCTGCTCGGGAGGAACTGAATGCTGGACCCATAGCTGATCTCTTCCTCTGTAAGAAGTTGCTGTCCAACTGCGTGGAGGCTGGGCAGGAGGGCTGCTCCATGGAGTGGGTGGCAGGGACAGTGTCCCAGCTCAGAACCCAGGCAAACCCAAGGCTAAGATTTGCAGACCTCAGTCCCCTTCTGTGCCAGGGAGAAGTGGGGTGGAGGTGGGTTGGAAAGCCATCCCTTCCCCAGCCTCACCACACTGGCTCCTCTCGCATGGCTGTTGGTACACATTCAAGCCAGAGCCATGGGCATAGCATGTAAATGTGCCTATGTACTCAGGGCTGAGGTGGGAGTTGGATGGGTGAGCAGGTACCATTCTTCAGCAGTAGCTTGTGAGCGTCTGCTTCTCTTCTGAATTGCAGAAGTAGGGGGCATGTGGCAGAGTGACACCTCCAGTAAGCTCATGGGTACTACACTTTCCAGAGCCCTCTCTTCTCCCCTTGGCATAGGCATTGGTGACGTTGTGGTGGCTCTGCCATCTGAGTTCCTGGGGGCAGTGATGAGAATCTGTCACAACCACAAAGCATGCAGTGTGAGCAAGAAATGTCTCTGCAGAAAGGCCACTGTGACCTGGGGCTGTTTGTTCCTGTGGTGTACTCCTAGCTGTTCTGATTAAGACGGTCATAACCGAGGTTTGGTTGTGAGGATCATGTTGTGTATATGAAATGCCTAAGACAGCGTCAGGTACAGTGTCAGGCGGGCATGTGTTTGACTTGGCTCCCTTCCCAGCTAGAAGTCTCTGCTGATGCTTCGCAGCAAGTATTACTCCATCCCAGCTGGGTTTTGCAGGACTTGACCCCTCGCCTCCTGTCCTGTGCCTCCATGGGAAAGCAGAGCTGCCAGCTGGGCTAAGGCCCTTATCGCAGTTGTGTCCATCAGCTTGTGATGAGTACGCCATAGGCAGCCTGGGGCCCAGACATGGAGAACAGAAGCTGAAGTGGCCCCGAGTTCTGAGTGATGGCAGCCTTGGCTATGCCATGCATGGAGTGCACCCAGGCACTGGCCTCTTTGCTCTTCCAGGCTCTGGCTATAGGCAGTTGGAGCCGGAGGGAGAGGGAGGGAGGGAGAGAAAAGAAAAAGACAGGAAGGGAGAGACAGAAGGAGGGAGAAGACTGACGGATGGGGGGAGGGAGGGAGAGAGATGGACAGGAAGAGAGACAAACACAGAGACAGACAATGGAGGGAGAGAAACAGAGGCGGGGAGGGAGGGAGACACAGAGATACGGGGGCGGGGCGTGCGCACGTGTGTGTGTGTGTGTGTGTGTGTGTGTGTGTGTGTGTGTGTTAGAAGGAGACCGCAACCTCTGCCATGAGTGCTGTGTCAGAGCCTGGGGAAGGGGATTCAATCCTGCCCTGTCAGGGTAAACCGGCCATCCCTCCCTTCATGGGGAGTTGGTTGGGACAAGGACATTTGGGGACCACCTGAGGAGACCTGTTCATTACCAAGCAGCATGCGAGGCGTCATCTTCCCTGGCCTGGGATCTTTCATTCCTGTGTGGGGGACATGGGGGGGGGGTGAGGCTGAAGCAGGAGGTGCACCTGAGCCTGATTCCTGTGTCCTTGCCACGTGGCAGTCTTCCCACAGTGGAAGCATGAGAAACAAAACTGAAGTAATTTTCATGCACAGTGAGAAACAGGAACAGGTCTGGTTGCCACATTTTAAATAAAAAAACAGGGTCCATGGCATTTTGAACCCAGGCCCTCATTGTGCTAAGCATACACATTACTGCTGAGTTCTACCCTGACCCAGCTCAGCAGTGTTTTGAACAAATACCTATAGAGACTTTTGTTGTTTGTCTCCCCCCCCCCCCCCCCCAAAAAAAAGGCCATCAAAAGATAGAAGGATCCAGGGAGAGGACCCATTGTGTCTGACACTTCACTTGAGTCTAGAATGATCTGTGGCTCTGGTTTACGTAATGATGATACAGTTTCACTTCCTGTTAACAGTGGGATTTGTCTGCCTGTGGCACATGCTTAGCTCATGCTGCGTTTGGAAATGACAGGGATGCCCCTGCTGCTCCCCCTCCCCCCCCGCCCTGTGAGCCTCCTGCCCAGGCGGGACCTGGGCTCCCAAGGGTGGTACACGATGGGAGCTGGACATGCTGTGTGTCTCAGGGCTTTGTCCTGGGCAGCGAAAGCATGGAAGTTCCATTCCGTTCCATGGAAGGGACTGTGCCAGTCATTGGTGAGCACTATGTGTGCACGGTTCTACTTTCCTGGGCCCCCTGTGCAGTTGGGGAGACAGCACCAAAGTGTGCAGGGCTGGTCTGGGCCTCATGACCTCACCTGTGTCTTGTCTCTGGCTGCCTCACTTGGATACACCAAGCTACTGAATAAATGAATGGCTGCTGTCACTGGAAGTCTGGCCAAGAGGCAGCTGCCTGGGAGAGGTAAGACTCGCTAGGGGATAGCCAGGCAGGTACCCTGCTGCAGAGAGCAGCCTGAGGCCCAGGGTCTCGGGGGGGTGAAGACCTGGCTCTGTGGGTGCGACATGCTGGTGTTCTTGCTGTGAGTTTAGCAGGACATGGCTCAGCTCTGACTCTGGACTACTCACCCAGTGTTAGCCTGGAGTGGCCACTGCTTTCTGTCTTTCTCAGGGCAGCCTGGCTGTTGTTGGGATTTGCCCAGTGTTTTTGACTTTTGATCCTTGTTTTGTCCTGCCCCTCGGAGGGAGTGTCTCCTGGGGTACCTCCCAGGCAGCCCTAGAATATGGTGTGGAAGAGGACCCAGGCCTCACCAGGCAGCATGGGGCATAGGGTGGGAAGGGAGTGCACTGCATAAGGACACTGCCCGGGCCAGGAAGCCCAGCCTCTCTGCTGTGGCTGGCAGTGTGACTCTCTAACCCACCAGCCTCGCCAGCACTCAGGGTAACCATACGAATCCCTAGAAAAAGGGTTTGTGCCTGGGAGTTTCAGCCCCAAATCACAATCCTTCCTGGCATTGGGCTCTCTGAGCTCCGGTATGGTCTGCAGCCCAAAGCAGAGGTAGTACAGCTCATAAAGTGGCCTGGTAGGTGCAGATGTGGGGTTGGGTGGGGTTAGAGCCACTGGGTGAAGGCATCAAGTGACAGAGGGAGTGGAAGCTGGGATTTAGCAATCACAGCAAGGTTCAAGGGAACATGTCACAGGGTCCAGAGTGCATGTTGGGTAATTCCCACCCGTTGGGAGCCAAGCCAGGGACACAGCCTCCACTGCCCAGGCCAGCGCAGCCTCTCAGTCTGCATAATGTCATATCCAGGGCCAGCTTGAAGGACGTGTTTAGGAAATGACTGCCAACAAGCAAGAGAATTGTGGAGACCAGGTTGGAGCAAGGCTGCCCTCTGCAGAAGAGGGGGCTGAGTGAAGAGAGGAGAGGTGGCCCGGATCAGTGGTAGAGCGGGCCTCATCCCCACCGTGGCTGGGGCTGTGCTGTTCACCTAGCTCTGTCCCTGGCCCAGGTGAAGGGCCTTGAAGCCCAGGAGTGTGGACCTTGCCTGGGCAGCTCTCTCTGTTCATGAATTTGTAGTTTCTCTGGTTCTTCACCAGGGGAGGAGAAAGGGGTAAATGCAACCGGACAGTAATTTATAACTTCACCGAAGCATGAGATTGTTTCCCTCTTTTACCAGATTAAACTTAAATAGAAAATAGACTCGGGGTGGGGCATGGGAAGAGTCAGAGTATTAGAAGGGAGAACAGCCCTTCCCCCATCTCATTACTAGCCAGAAGGCAGCACACGTATATTGGACTCAGATGCAGCATGCTTTTAGCATCTGCAGCTTGAGTACATGATTTCTTTCCGAGTTGGTGGGGCCTTCTTTTCGCTGCACTGAACAAGGTCTTGCCACCTCCCTGGGCTTTGCAAGGCTTTGAAAGCCCTCCAAGATCAGATACATTGCATTTGAAGTAAAGCAAACCAGGTAGAAGCAGGTGGTAACCTGTGTCTGTGTTGTTCAGAGCCAGTGCCATGTCCTGGGGCTGGCTGCTGGGACCTGGGACCCGCAGCTGCCTCCTGGAGAGCTGGTGTCTCTTGAGTGTCCAGTCTTTGGTGAAACCAGTCTGTCTTGCTTCAGTGCTGACTGTTCCCCCACTTCCTCCTGGGCGTCCATCTCTACGGAGGATGGGTCACTGGCAGTGGGAGCAGAGGGCTCCAAAGACCCCAGGGTTTAGTGATCACAGCAAGCTTTAGGGAAACACAAGGTTCAGAGTTCATGTTGGGCAGTTCTTACTGTCGGGGGCCAAGCCATGGGAGAACATGTCTACACTGAGCATCTATCCAGGGGCAAGGGATCCCAGCTGGGGACGAGTTCCTGGGGAACTGGCAGGAGGAAGACCTTCCGCTGCTCATAGGTCCTTGAGAATGTGTTCACAACTCCCCACAGCCACTCAGGAATCAGTCTCCCTGGGCCAAAAGGGAGGGCAGAGGCCGGGCCTCAATGCCTGGGATCCCTGGCTCCAAGTCTTTGGTAGCAGCTCTGCCCAGGCCTGCTGTATACCTGGCTCCTACCAGATGCTTCCCAAGTGTTGTCCTGAGGCACCGGGTGTTGCTGAGGGCGCTTGCTCAGCTCAGTGCACCCTTCGCGTGTGCTACTCACCATGGGAGGCAGTGGCAGCTCAGCTCCAGGGGACAGTAGAGTTCTATAGGGAAGGATGAGCCCCGGCACCCCTGGCCAGCCTGTCTTTGGAGATGTAGCTGAGGACATGGGACAGGCTTTGTGGGAACAAGAAGAAGAGGGGAGGAGACAGCACCTAGGGCTGAGGGCTGCAGGTGGCTCGAGCAGGGGCCCCTCTCACGTGTGTGTGTCTTACAGGTCGTGCATCATGTCGGTCAGCGTCCACGAGGCCCGCAAGTCACGGGGCAGCACGGGCTCCATGAATATCACTCTCTTCCACAAGGCCTCACACCCCGACTCTGTGCTGGCCCAGCTCAACACACTGCGCAAGCAGCGCATGTTCACAGACGTCACACTCTGGGCTGGTGACCGTGCCTTCCCCTGCCACCGTGCTGTGCTGGCTGCCTCCAGTCGCTACTTTGAGGCCATGTTCAGTCATGGCCTGCGGGAGAGCCGGGACGACACGGTCAACTTCCAGGACAACCTGCACCCCGAGGTCCTGGAGCTGCTACTGGACTTCGCCTACTCTTCCCGCATTGCCATCAACGAGGAGAATGCCGAGTCTCTGCTGGAGGCGAGTGACATGCTACAGTTCCATGACGTGAGGGACGCAGCTGCCGAGTTCCTGGAGAAGAACCTGGGCCCCTCCAACTGCCTGGGCATGATGCTGCTGTCAGATGCGCACCAGTGTCGCCGGCTGTACGAGTTCTCCTGGCGCATGTGCCTGGAGCACTTTGAGACAGTGCGGCAGAGTGAGGATTTCAACAGCCTGTCGAAGGACATGCTGCTGGACCTCATCTCCAGCGATGAGCTGGAGACCGAGGACGAGCGGGCCGTCTTTGAGGCTGTCCTGCAGTGGGTGAAGCACGACCTCAAGCAGCGCGGGGCTCACCTGCCCCTGCTCCTGCGCGGGGTGCGGCTGGCCCTGCTGCCGTCCGACTGCCTGAAGGAGGTGGTCTCCAGCGAGGCACTCCTCACGGCCGATGAGCGCACGCGTCTCATTGTGGACGAGGCCCTGAGCTGCAAGGCCAGGATCCTGCAGAACGATGGTGTGGTCACCAGCCTCTGCGCTCGGCCCCGCAAGGCGGGCCACACGCTGCTCATCCTGGGGGGCCAGACCTTCATGTGCGACAAGATCTACCAGGTGGACCGGAAGGCCAAGGAGATCATCCCCAAGGCAGACTTGCCCAGTCCCCGGAAGGAGTTCAGCGCCTCGGCCATCGGCTGCAAGGTCTATGTGACTGGGGGCAGGGGCTCTGAGAATGGGGTTTCTAAGGACGTCTGGGTGTATGACACTGGCCACGAGGAGTGGTCCAAGGCTGCGCCCATGCTGATTGCCCGCTTTGGCCATGGCTCAGCTGAGCTGGAGAACTGTCTGTATGTGGTGGGGGGCCACACGTCCCTGGCAGGCGTCTTCCCAGCCTCTCCCTCCATCTCTCTGAAGCAGGTGGAGAAATACGACCCTGAGGCCAACAAGTGGACCATGGTGGCCCCCCTGAGGGATGGTGTCAGCAATGCAGCCGTGGTGAGTGCCAAGCTGAAGCTGTTTGTTTTCGGCGGCACCAGCATTCACCGAGACATGGCATCCAAAGTCCAGTGCTATGACCCTTCTGAGAACTGGTGGACGATCATGGCGGAGTGCCCCCAGCCATGGCGGTACACAGCTGCCGCTGCCCTGGGCAGCCAGATCTTCATCATGGGGGGTGACACAGAGTTCACAGCCGCCTCAGCCTACCGCTTTGACTGTGAGAGCAGTCAGTGGACACGGATTGGGGACATGACCGCCAAGCGCATGTCCTGCCATGCCCTGGCATCAGGCAACAAGCTCTACGTGGTGGGGGGGTACTTTGGGACTCAGAGGTGTAAGACCCTGGATTGCTATGACCCCACCTCAGACACGTGGAACTGCATTACCACCGTGCCCTACTCCCTCATCCCCACAGCCTTCGTCAGCACCTGGAAGCACCTGCCGGCGTGAGGACACCCGCAGGGCCAGCCAGGTGAGCTCCAGCGTGGCCCCCGCTCTGGGTGGTGGTTCTCATGTTTCAAGGAAGGCTGGGTGAGCAGCAGGTGCCTGTGTGACACAGAGAGGTCTGCTCAAGAAGGAAGAGGCGAACGTCCAGATGAGGCGGTCTGTGTCCCTCTGAGCAGGGCAGGCAGTGGAGCGGGTGCTCGTGAGTCTCTGCTGTCACTCCTTGTTTTTAGCACCAGGCCTGTGTGGAATCATAGGAAAACAGGCATGGGTGACAGTGGATGGGAGAGAGCCAGGGACCCTGAGTGTAGCCCTCCCCCTCAGTTGTGGGTGGGGCCAGGCTGCCAGGACAGGGCACCTCAGCTGGGCCTGCAGACCCACTGAAGTTTTCTGGATTTCTATGCGCCCAGGAGGGTGGTGTGCGTTGCCTCTCTTCTGGTTGCTGGGCCCCGAACAGTATTAACTTGGGCCCAGCGCCCCATCTGGAAAACGTGAGGGTGCATGTTGCTCACAGGACTTGCACAGTGAGCAAATAAGGGCTGGGCTTTGGAGCCCGTATGTGAGAGGAGGAAGGTGGTGATAATGGCTTTGGGTCGCCCTGGCTACAGGGTCTCCTGGTGTCCCCACAGTCAGAGCAGAGTGGCTCAGGTGTTCTTGCAGCCCCCAGCATCACAGGCCTGTGTCCTGCTCGTCCTCCCCAGCCCGTGGGCACAGAGAGGCCAGTTACATGACAAGCCAGAGCAAGTATCTGAGCCGTGTCTGCAGCACCACTCCGAGTTGCCCTGGATGTCAGCTCGTCTTTCCTTGGGCCCTGCAGCACTCATAGACCTCCTCGCAGGCCCCAGTCCCTCGTGCCAGGGCTTGGGAGCTCTTGGGATGAGGGCCCTGGTGAGATGTGTTAGGAGCCTGCCCGGTACCTGGTGTCCATGTGCCAAGGGTGTCCTGTTCACCCGCTGGGGTATGAACATCAGAGTCACTAGCTGAGGCCACCATGGCGGCAGCTGTCCACACTGGCATGCTGCCCCCTGGGTGGCCCTCCCTTGCTTTCCCTGTCCCAGTGCCTTCCTGTTGTGTGCTTTTGGTGGTTCCTCCTGGACACCACGTGCTCTAGTCCTCCATGCAGTCCTGCTAGGGGCCTCATCGTAGCTCCTGCTCTCACGGAATGGTGGACACCCCCACCCCATGCATCTGCACTATGTGGCACCCCTGGTGTGGCGTGGCCACCCAGCCACAGCGCAGAAACCAATGTCAGAAGGACCTCCAGGACTATCAGTCAGGTCTTTGTTCCTAGGGCACAGTAGCCAGTGGTGACCGGGGGATGCAGAGCTGGAGTATGCGTAGTCTCTGGGTCATTAACTGGGATGGATGCCTCCCATTTTCCTGGCTACTGAGTACTGCCTGGCCAGGGGGGTGGGCCCCTTCTTGGAGATTCCAGGCTGCAGAGCTTTGGGGAGCTCAGCGTAATTAGGGGCATCAACCCAGCTTCTCACCTGCAAGGAACACCAAGAGACTGGTGCCCCTCACAGCCCAGCCCTGGCCCCTAGGAATCACTGACACTCAGGAAGGCAGGATGCTTGTGGAGTGGGCCAGCAGTGTGCGTGGGGTACTCTGTCCCTTGAAGGAAGTCCTCAGCCCCAGTGCTAGCTGAAGGTTTTTATTACAATGTTAGACATGGAACTCAATAAAAGTCTTTGTAGTTTTAATAAATAGCAATGAGCAAAGACAGATGTGCAGGTTAAGTACAGCCAGGTCTGCACCCCAGCACACCAGCATTGCCACCACCATGAGGTGGTGCTGTCTCTGCCCCTGGGAATGAGTGGATGCTTGTACAGGGCTGCTGTGCCCCCAGGCGTGAGCCCTCGCGAGCGCCCGAGTGTGGGCCAGCACTGACCAGTGCATGCTCACAGGTACTGAGATTGTGTGCAGGAATGTAGGGATCTACTGGGAGCCCGGGCGCTCTCGTCCTGAGCCCGCCCTGGCCCCTGATTGGATCATCTGGAGGGCCGAGGGATCCCTTCCCAGACCCTGCGTGAGATTCTGGCTCAGCCTGGAAATGGAAACCCACATCGGTTTTCTCCTGTGCTGGGTGCCCTCCAGGCAACCTTTCCCACAGCCTCGGCCCTCCTCTGGGAGGCTGGTGTCCGATACCCACACTTCCAACAGGAACGTGCAGCTCTGGAGGGCCTGATGACCACAGGGCGGCTCCTGTGTACCACCGTGTCCCTAGAGATGCTGTGCAGTTGGCGCTGTGGCCACTTGGCTGCTGTCACTACCCAGCCTGTGCCTGTTCAGCCTCACAGCTGGGCAGCCCCATACCTGCCTTTTTCCACCTGCAGACCCCACCCCACCCCTGGCACCAGCACACGTTTATTTGGATTTTCAAGTGTGCACGTTATCATCTAGCGGCCTTCTCATGCTGTTCCCTCTGCCTGGACTGCTGTCCGTGTTCCAGCTAACTCCCAGCGCCCCTTCAGGCCCCAGGAAAGATATGGTTGTAGCTCTTCTTATTTATTTTTTATTTTAGGGAAGGGTCTACTGGATGTGGTGATCCACCTGTTTACAGCCTCCCAAGAGCTGGGATTACAGGCACGTGCCACCATGCCCAGTCTCAGTTGCCATCTCAGTGCGCCCTGGGGGTAGGGCCAGCACAGCAAGCCCAGGGATCGAACCCCCAGCCCCTGTGCCTGCTTGCAGGTGCTTGTTAATCCGCTGAGCTATTCGACTGGCCCTCAGTTGTAGCTCTTCTGTCAGAGTTACAATCACACTGCATAATTATTCACACAGGTCTGCAGCTTCTGTCCCAGGAGGGCGGTTGGTAGTGGTGTCTGCCCAGAGGTATCCCCAGGGCCTGCCAGGGTGAGGGGGTGCGGGCAGGTGTGAACAGGTCAGTAGTGCCCACCTCACGGGAGAAAGCAGTGCCCAGGGCTGCCCAACAAGTGGCCTCTCTGTCCTGCCATCTGTCACAGAGCAGGCTGACTGCTGTGCTGCTGGGTGCTCATTCCTCCTCCTCTCTCTGCAGACTCTGCCTCTCTCCCAGCCCCTCAGCTTGTGCTGATCCACAGTGCCTGGACCTGGACACCTGGTGGAAGCTCGGCCACCCATCACCTCTCCAGTGGCTGGAAGCCCACAGCTTCGGCTGGGTAGTGGATGCGTCAGCTGTCCTGCACTTTACACAAGAGGAACAAAGCTGTGTCCCACAGCCTGAGCCTTGGGGCCTCTCCAGCTTCGCATGTTTACACAGGGCAAGGAGCTTTCAGAGGGCCATGGGCTGCCACCAGGGACCCCGGGCCTTGGGGAGGAACATGTGCAGAGCCCTGAGGTCACCTGTGTCGTCAAGTCCTGCACTGGGCCTGGAGGCAGAGGAGAGGAGTCTGGGTGGGGCTGTGGCAGGTTGGGCTTTGGCCCCCTGACCCTGACTCACAGCTTCCTTAGGGGTGAGAGTCTTAGTGTTACCTGACAGGTGGGGTCTGGGCCTCAGAGGAGCAGATCCTACCAGACTGAGAGCAGTTGGTCGTGGAGGAAAAAGCTAAAGATATTTCAGGGCTCCATTGTGTGACCTCAGTGACACCTCAGATTTCATTAACAGATGTACCCAGATCCCTACAGCCACACAGCAGGTCTGGAATCCCCAAAAGCCCATCCCATCCTACAGAGGACCAAGTTCTGTGGTGCTACACCAGATGTGGGACAGATGCTCCTTCCCATAGACACAGGGACTGGGGCCACTCAGGAGAGCTGTGGCCCTGGGGAGCTCTCAGGGACACCCTGTTATCTCACCTCCTCAGAGCTCACCTAAGGGGCAGTGATGACCACATTTCCTGACAGCATCACATTGTCAGCAGCGCCAGGGCTCCATCCCAGGAGACCATGCCACTCTCCAAGACAAGATAGTGCTGAGCCAGGGCCAGAGAGGGGTTTTGGGTGGAGTCGCCTTAGTGTGGGGAACGGGGGTCTGTGCCCACCATCCTCCCTTGCCCTTCAGCTGGTAGCACTGGTTCCTGTTCCCTGAGCCCCACAAATAACAGTCTCCAGAGTGCTGCTGAGCATTTGCCCATTGCTGCCTCCTTTTGCATCTTGGGATCCCCCATTGGGTTATCCCCAGAATCCAGGTCACCTTGTGTGGTCACCTGCCAGTGGGCACCTCACATCGGGGAGAGGCCCCAGCCCACCCTCACTCACCTGCCATTAGGGGCTCCCAAATGGAGCTACATACTGGCCCAGGACCAGGACTGCAGAGGGCCCCACACTGTTACCAGAGATGCGAAGCCACTGTAAGAACCAGTGATGTTCGCCAGTGTCCCCACCCTCAGCACTGGCCCTGGTCTTGTGGGTGTCTGGTGGAGAGAGTGCGGGGCAGAGCCAGCCTGCTGAAGGAGGGCTGATGCGTGGGCCACACAGATGGGCTGTGTCTGAGGCCAGCCCTGCACCCAGTCTCCCCTTTCCTGGAGGCCGCTGACAGCCACAGCCTGCAGGAGGTGGCCCCTGTGGGTGCTTAGTCTAGATAAGCACACTTCGCACAGCACAGAGGACCTGACAGCGGTGCTTTCCCCAAGCTGTGTGGCTCCTACTAAGTTGTCTAACTTAATAAAGAGAGTTGAGCAAATCCTTGGCCTGCTCTGGTTGCTGGGCCCAGCCTTGGCCAGGATTGCCTAGTGGTGTGGGGGACTCTGGTAGGGGGCTTTCCCTTTGCCCTGGCGTGTGTTAGCCCCTGCAGCTTTCAGGTAGCTTTCATGATAGAATCCTGGTCCTGCCTCCTGCTTCTGAGTAAGCCATGCAGTGAATGTCACGTCAAAATAGTAGACATGAATGTGTGCCTGGTAGGCCCCTGCTTGGCAGATCTGTGTGAAGGCAGTGCCCGTGCTATTAGGATGGGCACTGTGCTTTGGGCAGTAGCGTGCCTGAGCATGTGGCCTCCAGGTAACTGGCTCACCCCTGTCGACTGCTGTGGCTTCTCAAACGCGGCCACAGCAGGAGCACACAGCTGTGTGGCCCCAGTAGCGGGGCCCTGACCTTGGCTCTCGGGCAGTGCAGGGAAGCAGTGCCTGCCAGAGGGCTGATGGGAGAGCCTCACTATGCCCTGCCTCCCTCCCCAGGGCTCGCATCTCTGGTGCTCCTTGGCGGCCAGAAGGCCATAAACTACACCTGGGCAGAAGTGCTTCAGGTACCGGAGGGTACAACGTGGTCACTGATCTGTGAAATTGAACAGCCTTCTGGAGTGAGTGGGTCTCTCAGGTCTGGGCAGTGGAAGCAGGTGTTGGCCTGCAGTTAGCCTGCTGTGAATATCCCGGACAGCGAGGAAAGGTGGCTTTCTTCCCAGCAGTGGAAGCCCAGGCTCTGTCCTCTGTCATGGCCACCAAGGCCCCTGTGCTCCTCTCATCTGTCTGCATCCCACGTGTGGAGGGGGAGGAGAGGAAGTGACGCTCAGGGCCCTTTTAGGGCTTCACCCAGAACTTGCAGCGCTGTACCCTCCCGAGGTCTGGTACGCAGTGCCACCTACACATGGCCTCCAGGGAGGCTGCAGAGTGCTGGGCTAGGACTCCAGAAGGGATACCAGGACAGCAGTAGCCTCTGCCTCACACCTGGCTGGGGCTGCGAGGGGCCGACTCCCTCTGCTGTGGAAGCTGGTGGGGCTGTGGGCCCCTTCGAGAGCCTGGTGCTCTGCCTGTAGCATCTGCTCAGCCCCTGGACATGCTGGCCACAGGCCCGGGCTTTGCTGCTTTAGCTCTCGCAGGGACACGGAAGGTGGGCATTCTTGATCCGCTGCTGAGGCTGGAGTGACTGGGAAAGTTTGCAGCCGTGGAAGATGCCATGGTGCCGTCAGCAGGAGGTGGCCAGCCCTGGGTCTGCTGTCAGGTGTGTGTGGACGCCAGCAGCATCTTTGATTTGTGCTGCGTGGTGGCGGGGTCAACAGGTGTGGACGGCAGGTTCTGTGAGGGACAAACAGCCTGGCCTCTGGAGAGCCCTCGCACTGCAGGAGTGGCCAGTGGCTGCAAGGGCACACTGTCCTCCCCGCCCCAAGGGCGGCCTGCACAGGAAAGGAGCTGTGTACCGCACCAGGAGCCTCACCGTCTTGGTGTGGGGCGGTTTCCCAGAACCTGGTTCCCAAGCTGGCCTTTGGCACTATCCTGGACTGGGGGCAGAATGCGGGAACAAGGACAGCCTTCTCTAGCCCTTAGCATCGCCGTTGTCCTGCCTGAGGACACCCGAGCAAGAAAGGGTGGCAGGTGTTGTGGCAGTTTCATTCAAAGGGCGCCTCCTCTCCGCGGAGCGTCGAACCCACATGCGTCAAACCAGCCACCTGTATCTGCGGTCAGGGCTCAGCACCGCAGCTGTAAATGCTAATGACAAGGAAGGACCCTCTTAACAAGCAATTGTCGCTCAGGACCTTGCTCTTGCCAGGCAGGTGCTTATGCCACTGAGCTGTCTCACCAGCCCCAAGCAATTGTCTCTAAGGAGCCCACATAGCGCAACGGCAAAGCACCTTTGATTCTTCTCATTGCCTGTGAGATTTCCATGCCCACCACCAAGCCCGGCCCACCTGATCCCGGGATCCTGCCACGCCCCCTACAACTAGCCCTGCCCTGCGTGTTCCCCTCCCCCCGAGGCCCTGGGCCCTTGGTGCTCCATGTCTTGCTCTGTCTGGTGGTCCCAGTGGCTGCTTCCTTGAGTGCTGTGGGGCACAGGGGTAGTGGGCAGCCGACTGCCCTGGAGAGGCAGGAGCTGCGCAGGGTGACACTCCCAGGCGGTGTGCACTGAATACTTAGCTTATGAAGCCACACACTGAACACTTACTGCCTAGTGACTGCAGAGACAGCGAGGCCCTGTAACACATGGAACTCAGACTTGCAGTCTCCAGGTGGGTGTGAGGATCTGTTTGTATTGTTTAATGTACCGGGTTTCTGTTGTTCAGGTGGCGCTAGCAGATCTCTGGGTTCTCTTGACGGACCCCTTGCTGAGTTCTGAGCCTGTGGTTACCCTGCCTGGGTGATGCTTGGTAGTACAGGCTGTGCTTAGCAGGTGCAGGCTCTGGGTTGAATCTGCAGCACCAAAAATGTCAGAGCACTCCCTGGCGAGAGCACAGGGTCTCCCAGCTGGCCGAGGGCCAGGGAACAACAGTGGTCAGGAAGCAGTGTCCTGCAGCTGGCAGGAGGACACAGGACAGAGCGGGCGGCAGAGGAAGCCCGGGCTGCAGGCAGAGGTGGGATCCAGGGCCACCAGGGTGCAGGTGCAGTGGCCTTGTTTGGAGGGCAGTGCCAGCCCCAGGCCTGAGAGGGACAGAGGCGGGCTAGAGACCCACCTGTGCAGTGGCCGGCTCCTCCTTCCCCCTTAGGTGCTTGAGTGGGGTCCTGTGCTCAGGAGCCAGCCCCCACCACCTTCTTCCAGCCGGGAGAGTTGTGGGAGCACACAGGGCTCCTCCAGGCTGTGGACCTCTGGGGGCCCTTCTGGCTGGCAGCCCTTCTGCTGGCTGCAGAGCGCTGCTTCTAGGGGCAGAGTGCTTGCCAAGCCTGTTGGGCGACCTGAGTGTCCTGTGTGCTTTGGCGATGGCAGCCACAGAGGGCAGCAGCCCATTTTCCAGCCTGGGGCTGAGGCTCAAAGGGATGCTTGGGGCGGCCAGAGCCTGGTGCTGGGCAGGGCCCCCGGGTGGGGTCAGCCCCTGTCGGCCCTGGCTTGCATTCTGCACTGGCTCAGCCGGCAGTGCGCTTCTGCTGTCCCATGCGGACAGTGTGACCGTGCAGCAGCCCCCACCACGGCACAGTCTCCCTGTATGTGTCTGTGGAGAGGCACTTAGGCTCTTGGGGCACGGCTGCCATATCTGTGGAGGAGGATGAGTGGTCACTGCGGTAGATCTTATGGGAATTGAGTGAGTTAAGGACCCACTTAGAGTCCTGTGAGCAGGGCCTAGTACCTAGGAAACCATCAACAGCTGCGAGGCGCTGTGTGCTTGCTTGACCAAGCACGGTGACTTTCACTGTGGCCCCAGATCTTCCTCCACCCGGTGACCACCTGTGAGCCCTGCTCTTGGTTTGTATGTTGGTGGTTTAACTTGCACGGCTGTGCACATCTTTGGATGAAGTGCTTTTTTCTTCTTTGTTTTGAGCCTTTGGAGCTCACGGTGGGCTGTGAGGTCAACCCGCACTCTGCTCTTAACAGGAGAAACTGCAAGAGACCGTGGTGCGGTCCAAGGGCAGCGCCTCTAGCAGGCAAGACCAGCTTTGCAGCCAGCAGGCGTGGCTGTGACTCAGGGGTCCCCAACTGCCCTGCCCCCCAAGAGGAAGTGCTAAGACTGTTTCCTTTTTTAAAAAAGCAAGAAATAACAATAAAACAGAATTTCAAAACATGCTAGTAGAAGAATAACAATAATCAACACATTGCATGTTGTTATATTCACAGTAGTTATTCAGAATACAAGATCTAGGCAGGAAACATTGTTCAGAAAATTACTAGCACAAAACTTTCCCTTCTGAACCCAGATAAGTCAGCTCCATAACTACCTTAGCTGTCATGTCTAGTATACCTTTTCTTTTCTCCCATCACAGTTTCTCTCTTGTTAAGTTTCTTCCCTATTCACAATATCTATTGTACCTTTTGGATTTCTTTCTTTTTTTTTTTTTTTTTGTACTAGGAATCGAACTCTGGACCTTGTGCTTGCCAGGCAGGCATATCATACCTTTTGGATCTTGCTCATTCCTTAAGATTCTCACACTAGTTAGACAATACAGGGTCTACACAGGAGGGTCTGCTTTATTTCACGTATGAGTATGGTCTCAAGTGGCATCCATTTACCTATAAAGATCTCAAATTTATCTTTCCTAATGGCTAAGTAGTACTCCATTATATAAAAAGACCGCATCTTTTTTTATCTCAGTCCTCAGTTGATGGCCATCTGGGTTGTTTCCAAGATTTAGCTGTGACAAACTGTGCTGCTATACACCTGGGTGCACATATATCACTGTGGTATGATTTCAGTTCTGAGAAGATGCTCGGGGAAAAGCTAGGTTGAATGGGACCTCTGATTGTAGTTTTTAGGGAAATCTCCACACTGGTTTCCATGGTAGCTGTACCGTCTGCACTCCAACCATGGATCAGGGTTCCTTTTTTTCCCCACAGCCCCGCCAGAATCTGTAACTTGAAATCAATGACAGAAGGAATCACAAAAATTATACTAACTCATGGAAATTACACAATGCGCTTCTGAACAACCAGTGGATCCGGAGGAAGTTAAGCACAAAATTGTCCAGTCTGTACAATTGAACAATAATGCTGATAGAACATGACAAAACTTAGGGGATGCGATGAAAACAGTCCACAAGAGAAACTCATTGTTAGAACTGTCACACCAGGAAAACAGAACAAGCTCAAATAAGCAGCCTAATGTTGAACCTCAAACTTCTAGAAAAAGAACAGATCAAACTCAAAGCTCATACAAGGCCAGGGAGGAAAAAGAGCAGAAATTAATGCAATTGAGACTAAAACTCCAGAGAACCAATAATTGAAAAGTTGTTTCTTTGGGCCAGAGAGATGGCTCAGTGGAATATGTGCTTCCCTGGCAAGCGCAAGGGCCTGAGTTCAACCCCCAGTTCCACCCCCCAAAATTGA